TTCATGAGAAATTGTATGGAAATACAGTATTTAAAAGCCATTTTTTATGTAAATGAAGTAAATTAACTAGACTAGTTTCAAACCAATATGTTGGACAATTCTGCTTGTGTGGAGTGGGAGAGAAGGGAATACAATTGTAGATCATATTGGCTACTTTTCTGGATAATAAATATACTACCCAGTGACAAATTTGCTTTGTGAACAAGAACAATCAAATCACAAAGTCTGTTAATTTTTACTCTCTGAATGAATACAATGATTGTAATGGAAACTACTTATATTGTACTTTGCTGAGAAAAGTATTTTTCGTCCCTTCAGAATTAGTGAATTACATTCTGATCCCAGTGATGGGGAGAAAACTTGAGATGCTCCGTTGACCTAAGTACAAATATTATTTTTATACTTTGCACAGTTAAGTAGTACTTCATTGCATGTAATCACTAAACAGGAAAGAGAACTTAAACATCTAGATTGATGGAGTTTTTTTTTGTCAGATCTGTTTAAAATTTTAGTGGATGTAATTAACAGCCTATGGGAGGAGAATAGGGACCTTTAAAATTGATTTACTTTATCTTCCATCTCTTCTCTACTTCTTGAGGGATTGGGGAAGACTCCAGAGACCTTTTCTTTAATTTGAATGGGGAATGGGGTCCAGCAAATATTTGATTACTTTGAATATTAAGAATGTCTGGAGATCTCTGAAGAAAAAGAAAAGAAATCATTATTTATATTATTTTAATTATTCATAAAAAGTGCCTTGTAGTCCTAGGAGATTGATTGATTTTATTTCAGGTCAGCTGCTTAATTGGAAGAAGAAAAATTCAGTCTGGATCAAACAAAAATGGAAAATTTGAGAAAGCTTTATGGTGAAACATAAAAAAATCATTTTGATCCTAAGGCTACAGACAGACATTACACATAAACTGGTTAAAGTGATCAGAAACTGGTTTAAACCTGTAACAGAACAGAAGTTCAGCGCACATAAAGCAGTTTCAAAATGACTAAAACTGGTTTGAGATAAACCTGGTCATGGGCAACTGGTGCCACCTTAGTTGGGGAGGCATGTGCCCCTCTCCAGTGACTGGGGAAGGGTTCCCCTGTGGCTGATCATGGTTACCAGGGGGGCCAATTGCACCAACTGGGTGTGGGGGCCCCCCATGGCCGATCTCACCAGCTGGGTGGAGTCCCCCCTGCAACAAAATGTACCAACCAGTGGGTGGCTGCACTGCTCCTGAAAGCAGCCACACTACTCCCAGAAGTAGCTGTGGGGCTTCCAGAAGCGGCCATGGCCTGCATCCAGAGCTTGCACTCTTCAGCCTGCACTTGCAGGGGGGGCATCAGCGCTCCTGCCTTCCCCCTCCACCCCATCGCCTGAGCAGGGAGGAGCCTGACGTGTGTGCACCGGCGCTCTCAGGGGCTGCACGTGCACCCCCTAAGTGTTGCCACTGAACCTGGTTGAATGTAGTATCAGGCTTAACTGATTTGGGTCAACCCAGTTTATTCAATGTCTGTCCCAGACCCTTTCCTGGTTTAAGTTAAATTCAAGTCCCCCAGCATCCCAGCATGCTCTCTGTACTGGGTGGGGCTCCCTGCTCCACAGAGCTGGGCTAGCCCCTCTCCTCTGCTCCCTCACTGGAGCCCCAGCAGAGACTGCACGTATGGGGTGTCTGCCTGGTTTTCTTCTGCTCCCTCTCTCCGCCTTACCACTGCCTGCTGAAGCAGGGATTAGCCCCTCCCCTCTGCCTTACACAGACACCTCTCAGCATACCACATGCCGGCTACAGTCAGTGCTGTGGGAGATGACTAAGGCAGACAGGACAGTGTTGGATTAGGGCTTTTTGGAGCTAATCAACAGGTAGCTGGTAATGTCCCACCGTTGCTTTCTTGGAAAAGCTGTTTAAGAAGAGTTTGAACTAATGAGAGAGTCTGTTGTCTTAATGAGCTGATGAACTCTGAGTGAGGGGTGATAAACACTGTGCTAGCAACTCCTTGCTGGGCTGCTCAGGAGAGTGGGGGGAACCCCTCCCTAATCAGAGTGTCCTGCTGGTGTCTGGCCACATTCCCCTCAGCTCAGCACTGTAGACGGGAAGAGAGGGCTGCTCTCATGCTCCCCAGCTTCTAGCCTGAGCTAGGCATGTGCCAGAATTTCTTCAGTCCAGAGGGGATGTCTGTGCAATTACAAACCAGCTTAGCCTAGCCAGGTTAGACTAACCTGCAAACATTGAATCAATTCAGGCTCAGGCATTTTAAATGTCTGTCCCAAGCCTAAGTGTGTTGTTTGGTCTGAAATGAAATATTTTTTAAAATGTGTAAATGAATGTTTTAGGAAAAAAAATTAACCCAGCTCAGACTCTAGTCTTATCCATAGCTTCATACAAGATCTCTCTTATGATTTTTCTGTCTGAAAAATGTTCATGATTTGTCAGCCTTTCTGTTGGATAAACTGTTAATGAACAGCTTATTTTTTTCTGTTTAAGTGTAATCTAGCACAAGGCTGGAAATAAATATTAATAAAACACCCTTAGAACATGTGTGCCTTCCCTGATCATATCTGCCATGGTGCTTGATCTTATCCATAGCAGCAATGTCTCTTGTGATTATTAGGATTTACTCTGGCAGTAAAATAATACAAAAATTCACAGCTCGCTGGCTTGATACAGTTACAAGTACATAAAGATGTATGACAGCTTGGGTGGCAAATGTTTGGATGTAGACCAGACGTGTGTGCATGTGTGCAAAGGCCCAACTCCAATTTCAGATGCTTAACTTGGCTGCATAAATGGTGTTTTTGGCCACTTAGGCAAATTTTTAGATCCTGTTCCCCTTGGGAAGGTGAGTGAGTAGCTGTGTGTAAGACACAAAATAAAAACATGGAGAAGGAGCCCTTCCAGTTTCTAGTCTAGTACCCTGGTGGTTAGGGAACTTGCCTGGGGATTGAGAAACTGTGGTTCTGAACCCACTTTACCTGGTAGGGTTTTGAACATACACACCTTTGCTTCCCAGTAAAGTGATTTTACCGCTAGGCATTGCCAAGAGCCTCCATCTTCTGTTGAAGTTGACACACTGGGCCAAGAAGGAGAACAGGCCAGAAATGTGGCTCAGGGAGCTAGGTACTCTTGTAGAAAGAAGGCAGCTGTAGCTTTTAGGCTTATCCCTGTTCCTACCCCTTAATGGGGCAGAGGCTCTCCCATTGCTATCAGTCTGTTTTATTCAATGACTATTAAATGCAAAATGCCAAAACACCATTGAGGAACCTAAGTTTCTGCATAGCTAAAGTAGTTGTGATGAATAAGATACTGTGCTAATATAATGTTACTGTGATATAACATGCCCCCCTACATGAAACGTAACTATGATAGCATAGGAAAAGAGTATCACACTGATTTACAACAAAAGCACCTATCCTTTGGAACAGTGGTCTCCAAACTTTTTTGATTGTGCACCCCTATCAGTAAAAATTTTTTGAGCATGCACCCCCAATATATGTATATTTATATTCGCGCACCTCTATCAGTAAAAAAAATTTTGAGCATGCACCCCCAATATATGTATATTTATATAAATAGAAATAGAAGTTCTAATATTTTCTTCCCACACCCCAATGAATCGTCTTGCGCACCCCCTGGGGTGCATGCACCCCACTTTGGAGACCACTGCTTTAGGAGGCAGAAGTAGGTGACATTTTGTATTGCTCCTGCCTGTAGTACATAATATCCCTACTGTACATCCCCACTTCATGCTTTTTGGTTGATAATAAGAGGACATCTGCCTCCTCCACAGACCAAGGTAATTTGCTAAGAGCTGCTAAATTAGCGTTAGTTTGAGAGAGTCTTGTGATGTTTCATCTCTTATGCTAAATAACAAGAATGACTGAGCCCATTACAATGTTGACCTTTTCCCTGACCTGGATTGTAAGCCTTCTTTTTAATTCCCTATTAAGTTAAGGTCAGTTTGTCACAATGGAGAAAGACAGAGGGAAGAAAGATTAAACCTTTCAACTGTCATTTCCATGTCATGGTTTTGCTTTGCCAAAATTGAAAAAAAAAAAAGAAATCTCTTAAATCTTAAAGCCACATGTGCTACTATTTTTCACTTGATTTGTGTGTGTGTGCGTGCATGCATACATGCATGCACTCATGCACTTTATGGTGAATTTAAATACGTTTCTACCATATTTTAATGAAATGGAATATCTTTGCAGGATCAGTCCAGCAATTCTTGTCTGTTGTGTACTCATTCAGTGCAGTTTTGCAGTGGTCCATATGGATTGGTGTTAAGTTGAAAAGCTAGACTGAAGAGTGAGAATATTTTAATTGAATTACCTCAGTTACCGAAGGAAACCTGAAAACATTAAAGGCATGTGAAGCTCTCACATTTAAGGGCACAGCATAGTCTGCCTCCTTTTCTTGTGAGGACAAACAATACACAAAGGTACATTACCACATTTTCTAACACCCACATGTTCAATTCTTTAGTATCTGTGCACAACCAAGTATTAGGATTTAGAATGCAAACAGTTACGTTGTCAGCATCCTTCACAAGGACGGCTTCTGATGCCTGCCTTCCATACAGCTAAGAGCCCTTATGGCGAGGCCAGGAGAAAAGTCTATACCCATCACAGAAGTTCAGCACACAAAACTGGTCTATACCCATAATGGAACAGAAGTTCAGCGCACACAAGCTGGTTTAAAAATGGCAGAACCCAGTCTAAGATTTGGACTACTCTGCTACTGCCAAAAGGCGAATGTGTGTTCTGTTTGCTACCAACCTAAACTATGCTGCTTACAGAAAACTGTGTAACTTAGATTGATTCTGCCTCTGGCTTCTTAAATGTCTGTACCTAACCTGTGTGTACAGGTAAACTGTTCTTGGTGCCTGCAGAGTGCAAGCATTAGGTATATCTGTTCACATTTTTCTATGTGCACAAGTGGAGCTAGTAGAAATTCTTTTTTAAAGGTATCCTTTTTTCTTTCCTCTGCCCTCTTTCTCTGTGTATTTAGAACCTGCTTTATACTTCAGTGACACTGAATACCGGGTAGATGAAAGTGCTGGCTATGTGGAGGTTCGTGTCTGGAGAACTGGAACCGATCTATCCCGAACTGCCTCTGTCACTGTGCGTTCTAGGAAAACTGAGCCAGCATCAGCAGAAGGTAAGTTACTTTTAAATAAAAAATATTGCGTGGATTACTTTCTGGTGTGGCAGCACAGCAGTAAGGCTAGGCTCCAGACCCTTGCAAAGGCAGTAGTGAGTCTGTTACCTCTGTACTATATATAAGTTCCTGTACATAATAATGTACTGTTGCACATCCCAAGCCTCATGAAGTTACTACAAAATCTATGTTTTTAAGAATGATGTCTGTGAGGATTTATTCTTGTCACTCCTCTTATTCAGTGAGCATTTGGGGCTCTCATCAGAGTTAATGAGAAGATACAAGCTATTGCATCTTCAGTAGATAGATAATACTAAATATTATTTCTGTATCATCTAACTCACAGGTTGTACTTGAGTCTGTTCACTGACATTTTGTGTATGGCATTAAGGATGTTAGCAAACTGGTTGAAATTTAGTCTACAAAGGACTGAAGTGATGGTAAGTATCTTGAGGGAGACAAGAGAAAAGAGCATAGCTGACTATCTTCTTTGACCACTTTGGAATCAGCCTACCTGAAAGAAAAACACATTTTCCTGCTGTCACAAACTCATCTGCAAGATACCTCCAGAGTCCCAAGCTTTTCCCTGCTTGTCCTAGTGCTTGTTCCCAGGGACAGACCAAGGTTTGGCCTGGGATGACTGCTTTTCCCCTCCGGCTTCAGCACCGCTGCCCTTATGCTTGACTTCACAGCTGCAGCAGGAACATCTCTTCCAGCTCTAGGTGGATTCCCTTTGGGTTGTGAAAGAAACGGTAGGTTCTCCTTTCCATAGAATGGGTTACCCTGGAATATTACTTGTCCAAAGATCACTCCTTACCATAGGCAAGCAGTAAGGAGACAAAACAATAAAAGGATTTATTATCTAGAAGAAAAGTATGCAAGAGAAACTTATCAAAAGGTTAAGGCAGAACAAAAAGACAAGTAAAGTTTCTTATTCTCTTATCTGACTACTACTGAGTCCTTCAGAGAGACCTACCAGTGTTTTCAGAAATCGGCCTTCTTGCTGATCCGGCTAGCCATGACTGCTGAGGACATGGACTCTCACCAAGCTGAATAATTCAAGTCACAAATAGCCCTTAAAGTACCTCCAAGACAGCCCTCCTGCATCAGTTGTGTCCTGATTGTTCCCGAGTCTCAAAACCTTCTAGAGATATCTCTTCCTGGGACATCTGACATACTTGTAGCTAATGGGCCATTTCACAATAGCCTTTGCTATTATGTGATTGTTTTCCCCCTTTAAAGTAGAAGCAACTTGGGTACCCATCCTACCAGTAGCCCTTTCTGCCTGTGATTGGAAGTGGCAATTGTCCTTGCCCTGGAACACAATGACAAAAGATATTTAGCAGTTAAGTCTACTCTCTTTTCCTGAAATATACATCCTTCAGTTCCTTTGATTGAACCATAACCAAAACTATAAAGATATATACAGAAGGCATAACATAATCAATACAATGATAAAAGTGACATAAATGGATATAGCATAACATTGGCATTCCAGTGAGACCACTTATGGCATATCAGTGAAAAACACAAGAAAGCATTTAAGTCATCCCAAGAACCCCCCAAATTTGGTGGGGTTCATGACATCTGCCACTAAGAACATAAACTGGATCTCTCCTGGCTCTGAAAGCCAGAACTGCTGGACTCTTTCCTGTTTCCCATCCAGATATTATGGTCACACCACAAAAAATTACTTTGCAGAATTGGTCAAGGGATGAACCATTTGAGAAATATTTGGGTAATCTAGGGTTTTATAGGGGTGTCAGTTAAATTTGCTGGTAAATTACTGGTTGTCATATTAAATTCAAGGAGCAGTTGTAGCAACTACTTTGTATAAGGGAAACAAAATTAATTAAATATTGTCTACTCCTGCATATATAAATTAATAATATGCAGGTGAGGAACAAATAACGCTTCAGTGAAATTCAGATGAATCAAACTCAAACCAATCTTTTCTTGTTTTAGCAAATATGTAATAGTCAATGCTGTTGGCAAAATAGAAAAAGTTTTAAATATAAATGTAACTTAATATTGAAAGGCATATAATTAAGTCATTTAAAATATTTATATAAGAGAAAAAGGGAAAATAGCATTTGGATATTAGAAATTGACTAGAAAACCAAACAAGACAGGTAGTATAAATGTTAAGCTGGGAACAAATGAAAACCTTCATTGCTGTCGCATTCTTGTAGGCATCTGGGCTGGTATAAAATAATTAAATAATGTTACACTAGTGTTTATGGATTAAGAGGCATTTTTTGAGGCATTTACTGTTTCATGGCAGGGGGGTTGTGAGAGAGAAAATGCACTTAAATTTGTCTCAGTTTTTAATTATTTGTAAAGTTTGATAGAATTTTTTTGAATATATGAGATGCCCCGGCATTACAGGTTTGCTATGGAAATGTTTACATTCATTTTTGTGCTGTTATAATTTAAAAAAATGAAAACAACATTTTACAAAGCCAAGGACTGGTACCTACAATAGATATGAAAAACAGAGTTGCAGTAATATGTAATTTTCTGTGATTGTGATACATCAGGGTGTGAGGCTCCAAATACACATGTGAATGCAAGTAAAAAGTTGACAGAAAAAGACAGGTTAGATTTTGCTCAAACTTGGAGCCTGTGTCGCCTCCAGTGTACAAAAAAGCTGAAGGAAGAGATTTTTTTTTGCAAATACATGATGTTCTGCTGTGAAGGAGAAGGAAAACAGTTGCTATCATTACTCAAAGGTGATAAATAGCACATTTAGATGCAGTGTGGGAAGAACATTTTGATTAAGTAGCAAAAAGCTACAGACCTATAATAAGGATCAATTAGGCAATGGGAGATGCTTAGAAAGGTAACTGTAAATACCATCAGGGGAAATCTTCTAGTGAAGGCTTAATGGCTTTACTGTTTATGTATATATAAAAAAAAGCAAGTGTCTATCCCCACAGTTTATCATTCCAGTGCTTGAACCAACATTGAAGTCACTTTAATGCTGACTTGCTGTGTTGACTGCATGATGAGGTTGGGGGTATGCTCCTGCCATTGTAAAGCAGAAGGACTTTCACAGGTCTGTTTCAACTTATTTGTAGATACTCACAGTCTGTTACTTTCTTTTTGTAACTCTACATTGTAAAGTTATACGTAAAATGCCTATGATCACTAAATACCATATTTTCTTGCATACAATGTGAATTCCATCCCCACCCAAAAAGCACTCCCCCCCCCCAAATTGGGGCCCATTTGTTAAGTGGGAAGTTGTTTTGTTTGCTGGAAAAGAAGCACACCTAGAGCGATTGTAGACACAGCTACACAAGACGTTTGCTATGGAGTTGCCTAATTAGCTCCTCAGTTAATTCTCAATTAATATACGTGCAACCGTATTAAGCTGCAGTAAATTAACTCCTCCATAGGATAGGACTTGTACACATAAGTACTGTCCTATGGTGGTGTTAGCGTACAGAAATGCATGTGTTGACGCTGACAGGGATGGCTAGGGAATGAGGGTGCTTCAGTACAGGGGCTGCCTGCTGGCTAACTCCACACTAGCCAGCCCCTCCACAGCATATTGAGCTGGGTCAGAACAGCTTCAAACTGGCCTCCCGGCCCCTGGGATCCCCTTGCCAACCATGGCCGCTCCTACCCAGCTCAACATGCTGTAGTCCCAGAGGCACATGTAAATGTGGTGCCTGGGAGCAATAAACTCTGGCAGAAACTGTTCTGCAGTTTATTATTTTGCATTAAGTTCATGTGTAGATGCACCCTGTGAGTGCCATACTGCAACCGAGATAGCTGCTGCTTGTGTCTGGCTCAGCAAGCAGAAAGAGCAAAGTCTTTGTTAACCCTCTCATAGCCATAGGTGTTGGCTGAGTACTGTAGCCTATGCCTGAAGTGGCAAGTGAGCTACTGGTGGTATCTTGATGAGGGTTGTGATGTGGAAACAACACTTTATTTTATAGGAATGTATATAAAGAACTGTATAAAGAACCTTTGCTACTGCCCTTGGATAGGTCTGGGGCTTAACCTAGTGACTTCCTGGGACCATAGAGTGTCCAGGAAGTGTGTCGTCCCAGGAAACGGTCTGGTTTTCAGACTACTCCTGATTCCAGAAAGACTTACTCTATGCCACAAAGTCAGCCATGGCTCTGGAGAAATCTTTTTTCTACATCCCAAAAATAAGGCACATTATTTGGGAGTGTGTTGTAGGTGAGAAAATATAGAGCTGAAATAGTGCATGATGCTCAGTGTATTTGCCGAATTCTTAGGGTGCCTTTACATGTGCATCGAGACTCTTCCAGCGCACTGTAATTACAGTGCATCAGAGCAGACTCAATTAATCGAGTCTGTTGGAGAGTAGCCTTTTATGGTCTTTTTCCTAATTTCATGTTTCAAGTGGCAAAAAAGAAGCTTTCTAAAGTAAAAGCCAGTTTTTCTTGATTTTTTTTTTTAAACATTCCAGAAATACCCCATAAAATCTTAATACGTGAGAATGAGCAGCTATATTTTTTTTGCTTCCCAAACAGCTGGAGTTGATTATGTGGGTATCAGCCGTAACCTGGATTTTGCTCCTGGAGTTGACATGCAGACTCTCCGAGTGACCATCCTGGATGATCTGGGACAACCAGTGCTGGAAGGTCCAGAGAAGTTTGAACTAGTTCTCCGTATGCCTGTGAATGCAGCGCTTGGGGAGCCTAGCAAGACTACCATCTTTATCAATGACACTGTTACTGACTGTAAGTGTAACATAGAAACCTTTTCTGGTATTAGTACATAACGTGCACGCACAAGATACAGGAGTTCTTCTGATAACAGTGTGAGCTGTTTGACATATAATTATGTATTGCTGGTAATTTTTATAATTACATTTTAGGGGTTTTGACCTAGTAAAAGAAAATGATGTACAAAGTTGGAACAGGTAGGTTATCACTTTCACCGGTGCATTTGCTGCCTCACTCTATGCCTGTAAATGGTTGGTTCTGGATAGGTAGATTCATCATGAGCTGTAATTGTGTTAGCTAAGGCCTGAGGCACATGCGTGAATCTGTCTATTTATATGAATATTCACATCAGTGGTATGGAGGCTGTTAGTACAAACAGATTGAAAGTTTCCTTAGATTGAAAGTTCTTCATGTACCATACATAACTTTGAGCTACCAAATCCAAGGAAGTTTAAGTTTCTCATGTGGTTGTTCAAATCTTAATATGTATCTTATATGCATCACAAGTGGCTTTTATTATTACCTTTTTGGCTAAAGGAATAAGAACAGTGCGCATTGTCTGACTTGCTTTGTTCATAATCAAGTAATAAATGGAAAATTCATAAAATATTTAACAACCAGCATAAAGCCTTGCAGAATCTCTTAGTTATTTGATAAGTAGACAGATTTAATTTTTAGTGGTCTCAAGTTTCTGCAAATGAATTCCATTATACTGAATTGCTCTCTAACTGTACAATTCAGAATTCTGTTGAAGTTTCACTTACTGAAGTTAACAACAGTTTCTAGTGGAATATTTACTTTGCCCTAATAAGAATTACATACACAAATATTCTATGCATTGAGCCTAGAAAAGACCCCTTAGTAGCCAGGCAGAAAAAAAATACCCACAGAAAGAAGGAAATATACCATTTAATCAAAACTCACCAGTTCTTCAGTTGGTGTGATCAATATAGCAGTTGATTGCATAGGATTGTAAAAATATTTTAACATCTATATTGTTTAAAAAGTATAGGTGGATTTGAATCCTCTTTTGGTTACTGTAAAAGGTCAGCAGAGGAAGTAGATTCATGCCTTATGCTTCTGTTCCTGAATTTAATTAACACCCTTTCTCCATATACCATGGGCATTTTCATCATATAGACTATGGCGTAATGTATAAAACCCTTCTATTTGCAGTGCCCAAAGTCCAGTTCAAGGAACCAGAGTACACAGTAAATGAAAAGGACAGACAATTGATGGTGCCCATTTATCGGAGTGGTGATATTAATCATAAATCTACAGTCCGTTGTTACACTCGCCAGGGTTCTGCCCAAGTGATGATGGATTACGAGGAGAGGCCAAACACTGATGACTCTGTAATCACATTTCTTCCAGGTAAGAGCTTTTCAGTGAGAACTGAAATTACTTAAAAGAACATACTACCTTCAGTGCTTTTGAGCGAAATATAGTGCTGCTGAGTATCAAAAGCCAAACTCCTAGGACATCTTGGGCAGAACTACAATATAAATAATAATAACTTGGTATTTTTTTAGATGAGGAAACAGCAATGTGGACTTTCAGCAAATGGTAGTGCTCTGTGACTAACACTTTGGCATTTTTAAATGTTATAGCTAAAAATGAAGAATTAGGGGAAAATCAGACTATATTTATGAATTACTTGCTGTGCTTCTGATGCACTCTGCATGTATATTTATATATGTGTGTGTCTATGTATGCACATATGTGTTTGTATATATGTATGTTTTATGTATAAACATAAAGATGTATATGCACATATACATACATAAACGTGTGTGTGTATTTAATGTATGTAAAGAAAAGTAACAGAGATTTGATCCTCCTAACAGGTGCACATCAGTGATTATTTGACAAGGTGTAAACAAATACTTAGATACCTGAAACTAAATCCCGTTTTGCTTTATACACTTAAGGTACAGACAGAAGTGACAATTTTTCCCTGATCTGGCCCCAGAAAGTGGTCTACAGCTATGACTAAACAGAAGTGCATGGCTGTAGTCTTCTTTAAAAGGGCCTGATCCCATGAAAATCTGAACTTTCATTGAATTCAGATGAACACCTTCCAAAATGTAGCATGTCCTCTAATTTGTATCTATGGGCAGTGGCGAAGTGTAGGGGGTGCACATGCACCCCCTGAGAGCACTGGCACACCCCCTGACAGCCAGCATTCCCCACTTAGGCAATGGGCGGGGGGGCAGGCAAGAGCTCTGGTGTCCCCTCCAAGAGCGCTGGCTGGGGAGTGGGGGCAGGCAAGAGCTCTGGTGTCCCCTCCAAGAGCGCTGGCCAGGGAGTGGGGGCACCAGGAGAAGCAATCCTCATGGTCCCTCTGCGCCTGATCGTGCTGACTGGGGGGTGGGGAGGTCCCCCCGCAGCCAATCATGCTGACCCAGAAGTGCCACATAAGTGCCCCCCCCACCTTGGTCAGCACAATCAGTTGCGGGGACCTCTGCCCCAGTTGCTGACTCGGAAAGTACCAGTCGCCCATATCCATGGGGCAGTGGTGTTGTTACAGAGGCCGGGCTGCAGGCTTGCAGCAAGCAGCTGGAATCCTCAGCTCCCAGACTGAAAAGAGAACTTCCTTTTGACCCGAGGGATCATTGCAACTTACAGTGTTTCCTACAAAGCTACACTGAGTTGTAACAGGGAGCTGCTCTTCTGTCTGTAATCTTAAATGGCACTCGTGATTGCAATTTTTGGCACTTAGTATAGTGTGGGCTTCTATTTTGCCCTGTGTTGAAATAGAATTGCCCTGCAAACTTGCCTACAAGAAGTAAAACAGAGGAGAGCACTTTCATTTATTAGTGCAATTGTGTGGTGCCCAGGCAACCATGTAGGGCTCAGGAGCCTAGCATTTCTAGGTTCTAGGCTCCCCCTGCCTAAGAGGAGTTTGAACTTGTCTCCTGCTTTTTAGCAAATTTCCCAGGCCCCTCATCACCCCTCTTGAAGCTGGCCTGAGAGGAAGCCAGGAGAGGGGAATTATGTGGAGAAATGAGGATTAACTTGTGAGTGTGGGGCTCAGTGAGGTGGATGCTACATTGGAAGGGAGGGGCCCCTTGGTTGTAGCCTGCATCTCTTCTCCCAATGGTTCAGAAATTTTCCCAGTTGTGTTTATCCAATTATTATGAATATTAACACTTAACTGTGCTATGTGAGATTTGAATAAAATACAAAAGAAAAGTATTACTAAATTCTTTGTTTCCACTTCC